TTGTCAATATTCTAAATATCCAGGCCAATGCTTTGCCCAAAAGTGCTTCACTGTAATTGAAGTAAATTGAATAAATAAAAATAATAAAAAGCATTGGAAACTTCAAACTTCTGCTAGCTACATCTTAGTTTATTTTCCTTAACATAAGTAGTAGTGCGAACCACTTCAGGCCTCCCATCACCTGAGAAAAGCCTAAAACCTGGATTGGCCAATCAGGAGAAAGTCATTTTTGGCCCACTCTGTGCTTAATCTACCATAATGCTTTGTGTGCTCTGGCATAACAGACATGTTTTGCTTTACTCTCTGAGTGAACCCAAAATGCCCCTTCCTGTGTCAGCAACTTACAAGGCCAGATGAAGCTGACCAGGAGCATTCTTCTGTTTATAACTACCAAGGACAAGGCGCCTTGAACCAGACACTATCTTGAATAATGGGACTTTTCTTATATTTTCTAATGTTACATTATGTCATGTTAATGACAAAAGAAACACAGACATCCTGGATCTACAATTTCAATTGATACCTTGACATCCTCTTATCTTATTGTATTTACAACTTATCCCATTAAGAAATTCCTTTCTCCACAATAACAGCCACCTTATGCAATGACTAAGATTGTTCAACTGAACCCTTCTCAGCATTACCAGGATCTAAGACATCTCCAGAGGCCTCGGGATGGAAAATGCTGTCCACATCCAAAGAAAGAACTATGGAAGTCGAATCGCTACCACTTACTTTTACCTTCTGTTGAGTTTTGTTTCATCTTTCTGATGGTTCCTCCTATTGGCTTAATTTTTACTTACAACTTCACTAATGTGAAAATATGTTTAATGGGTATGTAAATGTAAAGCCTATATCAGATTGTGTGCTGTCTTGGGGAGGGTGGGGGGGAGGAAGGGGGGGAAATTTTCAACTCAAAAGCATATGGAAGTGATTGTTGATAAATCAAAATAAATTAATAAATTTTTTTTAAAAAGCAAAAAAAAATTCCTTTCTCACATTATGATTAAACACATATGGAGACTATAATTTTGGGGTGACACAGGCATCCTGAGCTGGGATTGCTCTAAGTGCATAAAGAGTCTCTTTCAGCTTGTTTACCTCTGAGTTCAGAATTATTTTCTGACTCCATCATGCATGATTCCCTGGCTTAATAAATAAGCACATTATAGCATATGTACAGCCTGATTCTGTTTGTTCCTTGTTCAAACCTTTGGTAAGGTGAACCCCTTTGTTTGTTCTTGAACAAACCTTCAGTTAAGGGGGGACCCCATTCTGTTTGTTCTGAGGGCAAACCTTTGGTTAAGGGGAAAACTGATTCTGTTTGTTTCTTTGCACCAAACCTTTGGTAAATGGTTGACTATAGTTACAAAATGGCTATTTGTTTCCATATACTTTTTGGAGCTTCTTGTATGTATTTTCCTGTATTTTGTTGCTGTTGCTATTGTTGCAAACAGAGTTGTAGTCAGTGTATATGTTATCACTCTTATGGGGGGGGGGGGGTTCAGAGGAGAAACTATATTTGAAGTGTTTGTGTGCTTTTTGGAGGTAGAACAAGCTTTGCAAAAACCAACAAAAACAGCCATTCAGATAAACAAACACAAGAATGCAAGCTTCTTGAGGATAGGAATTGTATTCCTATTTGTCTTTATAATTGTGTGTGCGCTTTGCACAGTGGATGCTTCATCAGTAATTGAACTGAATAAATAAGAAAAATAAAACATTACATATGGAATGCCAAACTTCTATAATTTATAGTTTTGGTGTTTTTTTTATGTGTGTACTAACTTTAACAAGATGGTAACAAGAAAAACATAAACCAAGATAATCCTGAGGTTTCATTTCATATCGTGCAAATTAGCAAAGACGATAAAAATGGGAATAGTTAATGTGGGAGAGGTTCTGGAGAAAATAGGTACACGTGCATTGTTAGCTGACTTGTGAATTAATACAACCACAGTGGAAAACAGTTTGGAATTATGCAAATAAAGTGATCAAAATTCCCATATCCTTTCACCTAGAGATTTTACTACTGAGCTTATACAAAAAAGAAGTCATTGATTAAAAAAAAAAAGTCCTCATATATGCCAAAAAATTTATAACAGAACTTCGTGTGAGCACAAAGAAATGGAAACAAAATGGAAACAAAAAACCCATCAACTGGAGAATGGTTAAACAAATTGTGGTACATGAATGGAATGGAATATTACTATACTGAAAGAAATTATGCATGTGATAAATATAGAGAAGTGGGGAAAGATCGACCTGAACTGATGCGAAGTAAGGTAAGCAGAGCCAAGAAAACAACATGCATAATGACTACAACAATGTAAATGGAAAGAACGACTCAAAAAAAAAACAGAAGTGAATAATATCACAAAATTATAAAGAACAAGAATGGTTCCAAAAAGTTATAAGAAGACATTAACATCCCATCCTTTTGCACAGGTGTGAAGTCTACAAATATTGTTCATGGCACATAGTTTCAGACCTTTTTGATGTATTGATCAGTTATGCTGATTTTCTTTCCCCTCTTCTCTTTTTGTCTTTAAAAAAATAGTTTTTGTTATATGGGATGCTTCTCTGGGATTGAGATGGGGAAGCATACTTGGGGAAACTATGGTAATATAAAAAAATCTAAAGCCATCAACAATTATTATTTTTAAAAAGAAATATATTAACATTTTAAAATTTAAAAACCCTTTCAGATGTTTTCTTTTTTGTTTGTAGCTTTAAAATTGCATTAAGACTTTTGGGACACCATATATATATATATATATATATATATCAATATACACTATTAAGTATGGGCCCAATGCCAGAACCCTGTTAGCTCAGGCTCAACACTGGTAAGAAATAAAGCACTCATAGGTTATTGAACAGTTGATAAAAGGCTTATTTAGCCCTAACATAGCAAGGACATACAATAAGGTTGCAATGGCATTTAGCTTCTATAGACCTGAACCACCTCTTCTCTATATACCATGACACTTGTTCTATTATGCAGAATGTGGTGACTAAAATGATCCTCTGGCATTAATTACATCAGAAGGGCCCTAACCCCATCTGGGTAGGAACTTTTATGCTCCAGGTGACTAGGAAGCCACTTCAACACAGCCAGAAATCACTAAGAAAACAGGAAGGTGCTGCTAGAACATTGCCCCACCCACCACATGACTGTCAGAAGAAAGGATACAAGGACACTATCAAGGTCTCTCTTAAGTACTCTGGAATTGATTGCATAACATGGGAGGTGCTGGCCCAGAAGCAGCCAGCATGGAGTACCCTCCTCAGAGAAAGTGCCATGCTCTATGAGCAAAGCAGAATTGAAGGGGCTCAAAAGAAACTTGAGATGCGAAAATTTAGAGAAATCCACCCCAAATGTTCAACATGATCTATTGGTGCCCAGCATGGGGCAGAACATTCTGAGCTTGTACTGGTCTGATCAGCCACAATTAGACACACTGTAACTTGACTCTAGCATGGTGATGTCATTTTGCTCCTATTCAAGAGTGAAGGACAACAACCAAAACAACCACTTCCAGGTACAAAGTAATGTCTGAGTCTTTCAGTCAACTGCAAGATGATTGCTGTTTGCCTTCTCCACCTGTATCCAATGACCCAAATCTTTATAATCCTATCCAAACAATTAAGGCCAGTCAATCAATAAACATTTATTTGGTACCTACTATGTGCTAAGCACTGGGGCTTATTAACATATTTGTGGGAAAATTCCTTAATGCGTAATACTCTGTTGAGTCATTCAACTAAACTTCAATTCAATAAGCATTTATTAAAAAACCTACTATGTGTCAGGCACTACACTAAGAGCTGGAGATACAAATAAGAAAAACAGCGCCCTTAAGGAGCTTACAACATAAGGGGGAAGACAACACACAGAATGAAGCATAAAAAGGGAAGGGGGGAGAGTTTGGCCTGTAGCAAGAAATATCTATGGGAAAAGGATACACTCAGTACTGCTATCCCTACAGATATTTATTGTTGTTGTTCAGTCATTTCAGTCATGACCAACTGTTCGCACCCCATCTGAGGTTTTCTCTGCAAAGATACTGGAATGGTTTGCCATTTCCTTTTCCAACTCATTTTACAAATGAGGAAACTGAGACAAACAATGTTAAATGACTTTAGGGTCATACAACTAGTAAGTGTCTAAGGACTGATTTGAACTCAGAAAGATGGGTTTTCCGGACTCCCAACCCTTTGCTCTACCCACTTCACCACTTGGCCTAACTGCCCTTTCTACAGATATACATTATTACATATTTCTTTTATTCAGCAAACTACTGCTGTCGTGCAATTAATTACCTATAATCAAGATGAAGTAACTTAGTTTAAAGTTAAACTGTATCTAAAACGTGTCTGTAGACACACATGGACAAACATACACGTATCATCTTGACATATACAAGGGCACATATATGCACAAATACACAGGCAAACGTCTGCCAAAAAACTCTTCTCAGTTCTACGTAAATCTTAGTGCCTTCAGAAATTGCTCCCAATTTATCCTATCTACACCTCTTTTGCACATCGTTTTCTGTATGTCTCCCCCATTAATATGTGATCTCCTGGAGAGCTGGAACTGTCTTTTTCCTTTCTTTGTACCCCTAGCGCTTAGCACAGTAGCTAGTCCATAGAATGCGTTTAATAAATGCTGGTTGATTAATACCCGTACACATATCCACAAGCCCTTAAAGGGCCTAGAGTCGGAACTCTGCCCACCAATCATGGATTAGTGCAAGATTCTGACGCATGCACAATCTTCGTCTTAACCAAGCATTCAAAGGGCCCAAAAAAAAATCCCAGGCCTGAACTACGATACCCAGCTAGCTCCCAGACGCTCGGTTATTACTGGATGAACCCTATACCTCCTAGGACTACGTCAGACAATCGACATGAGGGAGGCGTTCTGCAATCTCCCCTTTAGGACGCCAGGTAGCGCCACGCTCTCAGCCCATTTCAGCGGAAGGCCGGATCTAAAGAGCACCCACTCCTCGTCCCCGCCCCGTGACGCACGCAGCACGTACGTTCCGCACCGCTAACCTATTCAGTAAATAGGTGTGGTCCGCGACCTTCCACCGACCGCTGCCACCAAAGCGGACGCACAAACGCACGTGCAGACACGTACACCACATCGCCGCGGCCATTACGCATGCACAGTTTGTCAGTTTGGATTCGGGCCCGATCCTGTGTGCGCATTCCAATTCCTGGCGTAGTTCCGGTTCCGGGTGGCGAAGGGAGTAACTGGCCACCATGCGTCTCTCCGTTGTCGCTGCCATTTCTCACGGGCGAGTGTATCGCCGCCTGGGCCTGGGCCCCGAATCCCGCATCCATCTACTGCGCAATCTGTTGACGGGACTAGTGCGCCATGAGCGTATCGAGGCTCCCTGGGCGCGCGTCGACGAGATGCGCGGCTATGCTGAGCGGGTGAGGGGAAAGGGCAGACTGGCCTAAGGAGAAGGGGTGGGATTTCCGGGAGAGGATGGAACGAGTTCTAGGGGGCGGGACCGGGGTGGGGGGAAGGAGGGTACACGTGGCGGGAGGAGGAGCCGGAGAGGTGCTTTCTGCCCCTTGCCCCTGACTCCACCCTTTTCTTCCCAGCTCATTGATTACGGGAAGCTGGGAGACACCAATGAGAAGGCGATGCGCATGGCTGACTTCTGGCTAACGGTGAGTGCGCATGTACGCATGCGCACGAGTTCAAAGATTAAAGTGTGACTTTGGGTAGCCCTGTTACGTTTGTGCTGACTTCGATGTCACCCAGAATCTCCTTATCCTTTTCCCATGCACTGCTAAGCCAGGTCTCGCCCCACTCTGTACTTGTGTGGTTGATAGTTTAACCATAAGTGAAGAACTTTACAATTATCTGTATTTAATTTTTTTAGATTATTTTTTAAGGTTGTTTACATCGTTGGCATCTTTTAGGAACTTTTTTTGGATCCGCGTTCTGTCTCCCATCATATTAGCCATTCTTTCCAACTTTGTATCATCCACAAATTTTCTAACACGCTTTTTGTTTTTCTTATTCAAGGTGATAAAAATGTTGTATAGGAGAGACGTGATGACAAAACTCTCCAGCATGTTACTGTGACACCTCACTGTGTAACATGAGATCCGTTATTCAAGATTTTTTAGTCAGTTATGAAGACCCTACCTGAATATTGTTCCTCTTTATAGAATAAACATAAGGACATTAAGATTGTCAGCATTTAGGGACAGTACCTTTACAAACAGTATTAATTGTGTCTAGCAACTGCTTGGGATATATTTGCTTGATAGAGAAGATTCCTGTCAACCAACTGTCCTAATCTGACCCACAAATTCTGGGATTTAAATAAACTTTCAAGCAGCTTCTCTAGAATTCTAAGCAATTACTTCAGACTACAGAGCTTGCATTAAGGTTACAAATCAATAAATGTTCTCAAACAGAAAGGGAAAATAGGTGAAAGATACATTTTGTGATACAAGCTCATGATTGTCAACAACATATAGTTTCAAGGACTGCAGGACAAGTCAAGTATATTACAAAGATTCAAATGATAGTGAAGTATGAGAAAACAAGCTCAATTATATATCTGGTCATACAATAAAAATTGTTTGTATCTTTTGATACTATCCATTTACTGCCAGTCGTTAATCTTGATCAATAATCAGTGGCCCAAACTAGAGTACTTATCAGTTCAGCTAAGTAATAAGGCTTGTCTTAAACTCCCATTTATTCTAAGTTTGAGATACTAAAATTTTGCTTGTACACTGCAGTTTTGTGCCTCTAGCCCAACAAAAAGTCTGATGCTTTTCTGAAAGTTAGATGCACAGTGTCAACAGGATTTCTTTGTTCTATCAGTCTAGTACTATGTCAAGAAAGGAAATACAGTATTAATACACAATTAGTCAAAATCAAGACTGAGTGATGGAAAGAAATAGAGGGAATATGGTTAAATGACTCTGTTTTTATAGTAGATTCATACATTCACTATAAGGGGAACAAAAGGCTTTCCACTTAAGAGATTGTTTACTAGCAAATTCCTCCTACTCACTGTGAACTCCAATTAGTAAAGATGTTACCATGATTCAAGAATTCTTTCTCTTTATATTTATTAAGAGTGTTACCAAAAAAATGGATTACAAAAACTCCCATGTTACTGGGTTTGATTTCATGGGGCAGTGGAAAAAGTACTGAATTTGGAGCCAGAGGACCTGTGATTAAAACCCACCCATACTATTTATTAACAATATAAACTTTGGCAAATCACTACCTCTGGGCTTTAGTTTTGTTTGTTTGTGAAATAAAGAACTTGTACTAGATGACCTCCAAGGTCCCTTCCACCTCTAAATTTATGATCCTTGATTCAAGGCTCCTGTAGCCCCAGTAATACTAAAAGAGACTTGAATATCATGATTTTTTTTTACAGAAATAAACATATAGTAAGAGTCAAATTTTTGCAATATTAAGCATAGGAATAGAAGAGTATAGAAAGAAATTGAAAACATTTTTCAAAAAACTTCTAATTGATTGTTATGAAAAACATTCTAATATTGGTCAGTATGAAAGGATACCAGTGTAAAGAAATAGTCAACCGCTGTCAAAGTGAGGATGTACATGGGAACCTTGAATTCTAATGGGTGTTCCAGTTGAATACTCTTCAGGGTTAAATTTTATTTTAATCCACTTTTGTGGATGTACAAGGCAGAAATACCCACCAGAGAGAGGTAAATATGGGTCTGGAGCTCAGTGTCAGGATAGATTGGGCAGGGGAGGGGAGGGGAGGCTTAGCAAAAAGGTACTCATTGAGAATAGATGAGATCACCAAGACAAGACTACCAAGGACAATGTTTCGGGGAGTACCCACACCTAATAGGCCGAATAGAATGAGAGAGCAACCAGGGAGACAAAAAAAGAAACATCAGAGATAAAAGAATTAGAAAGGACTGGTGTCTTAAGAGGAAGTTTTGATAAAAAGTATAAACAGCTATAGTGAAGTAAAAGAGGACTCCTTTAGATTGATTAAAAGTCTTAGGGGGATGGGGAGAGGGAAGGGAAATGGAATAAGCATTTATACAGGGCCTGCTATGTGCCACTATGCCAAGCACTTTTTACAAATAATATTTCATGTGATCTTCACAACAACACTGGGAGGTAGGTGCTATTATTCCCATTTTATAGTTGATGAAATTGAGGTCAACATTAAGTGATTGAAGGTCACACAGCTAATAAATGCCTAATGACCGATTTGAACTCAGATCTTCTTGAATCCAGGCCCATCACTATTCACTGATGCCTCTAGGTTATTGTTGACCTTTGAGAGAACAGTTTCAGTGTGGTTTTAAAGAACAAAAGGAGATGGCTGAGAGAGAAGCTGTAGAGGACTCTAGCATAGGCCACCCTTTCTAACAGTTTAGCAGAGGACAGAAGAAGAAAGATAGAAAAATACTTTGATAAAATGTCAGGCTAAAGAGAAGAGATTCTTAGAAAACTTTGAGTCTGTTTATAGTTGAGGAGAAGGAACAAGTGAAAAAATGGGCTTCAGTTTTTCCATGCTCCTGGAGCAGATGTAAAGGGCATAGTTAGAAGGCTTAGCTTTCTCAGGGGAGGAAACAGTTTCATCTTCTATGACCAGAGTGAAGAGAGATAGAATGGCAGAAGAAACAAACTTTGAGATGTGGAATCAATCAACAAGAATGTATTAAGCACTTTCTGTGTACCAAGCGCTGTGCTAGGTGCTGAGGATAAAGAGGTAAACATGACATTGTCCTTGTATTCAAGGAGGTTACATGGTATCACGAAATAACTATAAACATATATACAAAATAAACACAAGGTCATTGAAGAGGAAGGCATGAGCAGCTGGGAATGTAAGAGAAGGCTTCATGTTGAAGGTGAGATTTGAGCTAAACATTGAAGGAAACAAGGAATCTGAAGAGACAGATTCAGAGGTAGCTTCCTTCAGCAATTAGCACAGCCTCTGAAAAGGAATAGAAGTGTGAAATAGAGCATCCTGTGTGTGGAACAGTAAGAAAGCCCATTTGGCTGAGCCATACATTCTAGGAAGGGGTATGATATGGCTATAAAGCTTGAAGGTAGTTGGAAGCAAAGAGTGAAGGGCTTTAAATGCCAAATCAAGGAATTCATATTCCACCCTAGAGATAATAAGGAGCTAATGGAGTTTATTGAATAAGGGAAAAACATGCTCATATACTTTGGGAAGATTACTTTCACCTATGAATGGAGGATAGATTTGAGATGGGTAAGACTTGAGGCAGGGTAACCAATTAGGAGGTTATTGCAGTAGTCCAAGTGAGAGGTGAGGATGGCCAAGATGAGAGGTGAGTAAGGGGAAGGGAACACATGTGAGAGATGATGTGGAGGTAGAATCACAGAACTTGGCAACAAATTGGATTTATGATGTAAGTGAAAGTGAGGAGGTAAGGATGACTCCAGTTTGCAAACCAAGGTAACTAGAACGTACGTGCCAAAAAAACAAAGTCACTCAGAAAAGGGGTGGGTTCAGGGGAGGAAAGATAAGTTATGTTTTGAATATTGAGTTTAAGATGCCTACAACACATCTATTTCAAAATGTCCAATAGGCAGTTGATAGTGTGAGACTGGTAGAGCTAAAAGGGCTTTATAGACACCCTCACTTAGCACAACCTCCTCATTTTACAAGTGGGGAAACTGAGGCCCAGAGAGGTGAAATTTTTATCCTGGGGTCATACAAACGGTAAGTAGTAGATACAAAGAACAGTCATCTAAGAGATAGTTAAAAATGCAAAGTTGGTAGCTTAAGCAAAAAACAGCTGGGGTGGGAGGCCTATAGAGATTCTCAGAGTCAGGAGGCAGTGCAGAGGCTAACTTATATCTGCATAAAAATCCTGCTGTGTCATTCAGGAAAAGTCATATAGCCTGCACTTGATCTATAGGAAGCCTAAAGTTGTTTCTCTGAAACTTTCCCTCCTTGTTCCTAGTTCTTCTCTTTGGGGCCAACCAGAACAAGTCTAATGATACTTCAACATGACAGACTGGAAGAGCATTATCATGTGCCCCCTGACTGAGTCTTTTTTAGAATCTAAACATCCTCTGTCCCTTCAATTGATTGATCATGTTTTGATCCAGCTGTGTTGATTGAGAAGTTTCTTATACATCCTCATCAGTCTCTTTGAACAGCTCCCTTTTTCCTTCTCATCAGAATATGTTCTAGAATCCTCTCCTCATCCTTGTTGCTGTCCTCTCTGTGGACTCAAGCTTCTCAATGTTTCTCTTAAAATGTAGCATCCAGAAACACATAATTCTCTAGATTCAGTTTGACCAGGGCAGAGTACAATAGTGCTTCATTTAGCATACTTTGTCTCTTATAATGTAATGTATGATGGCATTAGTGTTTTTGACTTGTGATGGCACACTTAACTCTTACTGATCTTGCAGTTCACTAAAACTCCTATTATTTTTCACACAAAATGTTGATCTAGCCATGCTTTTATATCATCGTATACTTGTGAAGATGATTTTTTAACTGAAAAGTAGGACTTTACATTTATTTCTCTGAAATTTCATCTTAATAAATCTGGCCCATCATTGTAATCTGTTGAGATGTTATTGGACCCTTACACTTATCCAGCATTATTAGCTTTTCTAGCCTTGTGTCGTCTGCAAATTTGATGAGTATGGCATTATCAGAGTCACACTTAAAAAGTACAAAGTCAAAAACAGATCCTTAGGAGACCTCCCTCCAAATCATAGCAAATCATTAATTGCTATTCCTGGTTTACAATGAGAAAGTGTCAAATGCTTTGCTGAGTTATAGGTAGAGTATGTCTAAAAAGTTCCCCTAATCTACCAATCTGTTAACTTTGTTGTTCCCCCCCCCCCCAAAAAAAAAGGTTTGTCAGCCAAGACCTCTTAAAGAAGCCATTTGGTGATCACCATTTCAAAAAGCCATCTCACTATAGTTTTCCAGACAGCCTTTCTGTTTTGAAAATTAGGACACGTTTTCTCTTCTCTAATTCTGTGACACGTCTCCCATTCATTTTTTTTGAAAGATCACCGAAAGCCGTTTATAAATCACAGTTGCAGTTCTCGGGTGTAAGTCTATTCCAGTCACGAGTTCTGTTCTATCCAGTGTCAATGATACTTACGAGGTAGTAGTGTTCCTCTTCGTCTTAGGAACTGTAGTTTGCCTTCTTTATTATTCATACTTTGTGCATTTATATATAGACATATGAGGACGTATTTTGATCTCTTTTATGCAGATGTAAGTTAGCCTCTGCACTGCCTCCTGACTCTGTTCTTCGATTTTTCCTGTGAATTACTGGTCATCTGCTGTTTATCAGACCTGCTGCATCTGCTATTCTCTCTGTTGTCTGAGAGATTATTTTCTCCTTCCCTTTCCTTTTCCACTTTAAAGCCTTTTTAATCAGATTTGCAAACCCCTTGCCATATGTATTTTTACCAGCCTTCAGGATGTACATTCCGTCCTTGACCATCATTACTTCCTCCAGACATGGTCTAGAAGGCCAAATCCCATTCTCAGATACCATCTTCTTAACCAGCTGATCATATCTCATATCTGCCTTTCCCTTCTGTAGCTCCCACCTTCAGTCGGCAACAGTGATTAAAAACACCACCTATGCCCCTACAATCTTCAGTTTCTTTCCCAGAACTTCATAATCCCTAGCAATGATGTACCAGTTCCTTCTGGTAGTATCATTTGTCCCTACGTGAATTACCCAGAGTAGATAATGATTATCAATCTTGACACAAGGTCATTTTTAAAAGTCTGACACCAAAGATTTAAAGAGAATAATTCTTATAAAAGTCCAAAACACAAACATATGTCAGCAAAAAGGGTGTTTAAACAAAAAAGAATGTAGTAAATTCTCCTCGAGAAAACAAAGCTCTCTTAACAAATAGTAGAGGACAATGGAAAGTGAGCCAGTGCTTGATGAAATATAGAAACTGTGGACTTTACCAAGAGAGCATGGAACGATAAAGAACTCTATGGTTAAAAAAATAAATGTCATAAAAGAATAAATTGGGAATGAACATGGGTTGGAATGTAGACCTCAGTTTTCATTAGATTCCCTCAGGATAAAATTTAAAACTCAGATAATTTTAGAAAAAATTGAATGCACAGTGGAGAATCTCTAAAGAAGTGAGAGACTAACAAGCTCATTACAAAGTTACTGAAGTGGAGGAAAAGCTGGTAGAAGAGAAGCAAGAGGCAATAGGTTAAAAGAACACATGAATTCTATGTAAGCCAAAGCCACTGACCTTGAAGAAAGGATATGCAGGCAGAAACAACTTAAAAATCACAGGTCTCCCTGTCAAAATCAAAATTTAAAAACCAGAATACAGTAACGCAGGATATAGTACAAGAAGACACATCTCTGAAGACTCTGTCCAGTCCATCTGTGTGCCTTAGAACAAAGAAGACCTCTCTGTCATCTGTATTGGATTGGCACATTGCCAGCTGGGAATCACCACTGTTCATCCCTGCTTTCCCTGGTTGGTAGGTGGTACCTGTGGAGCTACAGCATCATTCCTTGAAACTCAAGAGCCTGAGCTACCCTGAGAAAGTCTAGCTACCTCATCTACAGGTAGACGCTTATACCTGTTACTTAATTCCAGATATTTAGTAGTCCTCTTCCTTCTGTGTCACGTTATTCTGCCATTCTGATGTGTGATAGGGTTCTCCTTTGCTTCTTCAGCTTCTTTTTCTTCTTCCACTTATTCCAAAAATGTGATCTTCTATCTGTAGCGTAAAGAGTAGAAAGGCCTTCCTCCAGTTCTTTTACCTCCTCTAGGGGAAAGTTAACCTACACTTTTTTTTATGAGCTGTTACTTGGGAGTGTCAGAAACACAAACATAGCTGCCCCTGCCATCTCAGCAAAGTTTCCCTCGTACTCCATGTGTACTGGAAGCAAGATCCTCAGTCCACTGCTGTTCTTGCTTGTAGCTCTTGTGGCTAAATCTTATGTCAGTCTGCTATGGGAAACTGTTCCTGTTCCTGTTTGCTTCTCTGGGCTTCATATTGAGGCTTTCTCATGCTTCCCACCTTTTCTCAAGATATGATCCTTGTGAAGTCCTGATATAGTAGACATGATTCCTACCCGTTAGAGTTGTAAGAATCAAAAGAGATAATGTATGTAAGAGCTCTTTGCAAACCTTAAAGACCTATGTAAATGTCATCATTATCTCTTCTTTGGTAGACTTGATATTTCTCCTTGTTATTCCCCTGGCTATTTGAAAGAGATGATTACAGTCACGTAAAGGGACTGTGATATAGTGGAAAGAATACTGATCTTAGAATGAGAAGTCAAACCAGAGGCCTAGCTCAGACATTGTGTAACTGTGTGACCCAGGACAATTTTCTCAGCCTCTCTGAGCCCACTTTTCTGGTCCATAATGTAAGATGAGTAAGACATACTACATACTTCTCAGTATAATGTAAAGCAAGCAGTTTAGAAGTGTGCTATGTTGAGTTCAGCAAACAGGGCTATATAAATATAAATCTTAGCTCTGCTACTTATTAGCCATGTGGACTTGGGCAAGTCATTCTGCCTCTGTGTCTGTTTCCTTATCTGTAAAAGAGCCCCTTAGAGTTGATGTCTACTGTTCCCTCTAAATCCTCCAGTATTCCTCTGTGTGTCTGTCTGTCTATCTCAGACATACAGACAGACACTGAGAGTTTACCTATACCCTTTTATTGGGTAAAGGGGCTCTTGTCACTCGGGCGCAGGTACTCCTCATGATGTGTTTCTGTGATTCAAACTGTTTTCTGTCTCTTTCCCTCACTTCCATCTCACAGGAAAAGGACCTGATCCCAAAGCTGTTCCAGACACTGGCCCCTCGCTTCAGCAGTCAAACTGGGGACTATACAAGGATGTTTCAGATTCCAAACCGTGAAAACCTGGACCGTGCCAAGATGGCAGTGATTGAATACAAAGGGAATCCCCTCCCTCCATTGGTGCTGCCACGTCGGGACAACAATCGCACACTCCTCAATCAATTACTTGTGGGCCTTCGCCAGGACCTGGAACAGAGGCCCCCAGCTTCTACTGCATAAAGCCACAAAGGGTGTAGTTCAGAGCAGCACAGCCCAGAAGACTGAGTTCTTGTTGGGGTATTCCAGTCTGGTAGTTTGTGAGGGCAAACAACCTGTATCACCTTCCTATCTCTGACTTCCCTGTAACTTCAGGGTCACTATCTTCCCTTGTTACTAGGGAACCTCAGGCTAAGCCACACTGTGGACACAGGAACAGAGCAAGAGATAAATGCATGTGTGGGGCAGGCCATTGTCCCTGGAGTCATTCTTTTTTGCCCTGAGGAAGGAAGGACTGACTGATAGGCTTCAGTTTGTACAATAGATAGTTCCTATACAGTTGTTGTGTGTAGTTTGAATGCTGTTTTTGTCCATTTCTCTTTCTGGCTCTAAAATGAGACCGTTCTCTCTGGAAGGCCTGGCTGTGAACGGCATTCCTCTGAGTCTCCTGCCTAATCCAGAAGCTTCAGAGGACATTACAACTATCCTTCTGTGTCCAGGCAGGGACACATGGAACTTCCAACCCAACTGTTTGTGGTACCTTTGAGTAGGCTAAGCTTATCCTCTGTACCCTGAGTCTCCTCTTCCCTCCCCACTTACACACATCAGCTGTAGGGATTATTGTTAGACTCCAAGACTTTGAAGACTTTGCAGGATTGGGATGAAGAAGATGCATACAAAGCTGGGGAGGACCATCCGAGTGCCCCACCCCCAACATTCATATGGGCTAACCTGTATGAATGGGTGTGATGAGGGGGAATCCCAAAACCAGCTTCAGTAAGGTCAGCCTAGGGTGGGAATCAGGATGTAGATCCTGCTGGGAATTTCCTGGAAATATTTCCCTGTACTGACTTTCAGTCTACTTTCTGGGGAGGGAGGAAATCCGGCCCTGCAAGCAATGAGACTCATTCATATGGGGTGCCTTAGAGCTTTAGGTGCCACAGAACTAAAGGAAATCCGAAGTCAACACCCTTTTCTCCACTCCTAAATATACACCCCACAATGCCCCACAACTATCACAAGATTAACACACATATAAGATTTAAATGTAGATGAGGAATTACCTTCTGGAAACTAAGTGGAAATAGCCAGGGATAGAATCCTCTGACTCTACTGTCTGGAGGGATAGGAAGAAAGGTGATAAACTGACAACTAAAACAAGATTCTCAGTTGTGGTCACTTTGGGATAATGGGGAATGCTGGTCTTGGCTACTTTCAAGAATAATGTTTTAAGGGAATCCTGAGCTTGGCTCATTCTGCAGTAAAATGGTCAGGAAATACTAGCCTGGGCTGATTCCTTTGACAGTGATTCAAAATATGGTAACCCTATGGGAGAATTTGTGGAGAGGTCTTGGCCCAGGTCTCGGGAACAAAGATAGGGGTGCTGGTCAGTCCTGAATCTAGTCATTTCCTTACATAGTAATGGAAGAATCCTAGCAATAAGTTTTGTGTGTAGGATAATATTGGAGACAGTCACTACCCAGATTCTCATGGGGAGTCCTAAACCTGGGCATTTCTGGATATAGTTAAAAATTCTGGTGCTGGTTACCTGATGTGAAAATAATGGAGAACCTTGATCTCAGTGTAAACTGGCCCTGGTCATTTTTGCACATGATGAGGAATCCAGGCCTTGGTTATTCTGGAAAAGTTAAAATCCTCATCCTTAATCAATTTTGATTGATGGATCAATCTTGTTTGCTATAGTACAATACTAGGAAATTCAGACCGTGGTTATCTCAGGATTAATGGGGAAAAGACTCTTTATCTTTAATCACACAGTGGGATAGTGATGGGAAATTCTGGTCCTGGTTGCACCTTAAAAACAGTGAAAGGAAATCTTAACTGGAGTCTATGAGAGGGAATTCTAGCTCTACTCATATATAGGGCCATGATGGAGAAATAAATTACCCTGTTCACTCTTGGGGACAGTGATGGGAGAATCCTAGCCCTGGTCACTAATTCAGTAGTGAGAGAGTCCCAGCACTTATCATTCCTTATAAGTGATGGGGAAAGCTTAACCTAGGACATTGTGGGACAGTGGTGGGGTTTCCAGTCAAGTCAACAAGCACTTGATGTCTTCTGTGTGCCAGGCGCTGTGATAAGCACTAAGATTACAAAGAAAGGCAAAAGGACAGCCTGTGATCTCAAGGAGCTTGGTCTAACGGAGACAACATGAAAACAACTATACAAACATATGCAAAATAAATTGGAGAAGGCACTCAAGGGGAATTTGCAAAAATCTTTTAGAAACTAGGATTTTTACCTGGGACTTAAAGGAAGCCAGAAGGCAGAGATGATAGTGGAGAGCATTCTATGTATGTGAGATAGCTGGTGAAAATTCTCAGAAGTGGATCACAGTGAGTGGAAGTGAATAAAGTATAAGGAGACTGGGAAGGAGGGAGAGAGGTTATAAAGGGCTTTGAACTCCAAAGGATTTATCGTGGAGGTGATAGCCACTGGAATTTATTGAATAGGGAGATGATATGGTCAGATTTGTGGTTTAAGATCAGTTGGACACCCAAATGGAGGAGGGACTGGAGAGGGGAGAGACAAGACAGGGAGAACAACCAGAAGGCTTTTGTGGTAGGCCAGGTGTGATGTGATGAAGACCTGCACCAGAGGAGAGATGATGGTATATAAGAAGAATGTTGCAAAGGTACAATTGGCCAGACTTGGTAACAAATTGGGGGGGAGGGGGGTGAAAGAGTAAAGAGTTGATAATATTCAGATTTTGAGCCTGGGTGACTGAGATTGGTGGTGCCCTGGACAACAATAGGACAGTTAAGAAGAGAACACTTGGGGGAAAAGATAATGAGTTTGGTTTTGAGCATGTTGACTTTAAAATATCTATGGGACATCCAGTTGAGGTGTCCCAAAAGGCAGTTGGAGATTTGAGTCTAGAGGTTTAGAGAGATCAGAGCTAGATAAGTAGGTGTGAGAATCATCAGCATAGAGATGATACTAGAAACCATGACAATGGATCACTAAGTGAAATAGTAGAGAGAAAAGAAAAGGGCCCAGGACAAACCCTTGGGGAACATCTATAGTTAGTGGTCATTACCTGAACAAAGATTTAGTAAAGGACTGAGGACCTTCCAGACAAGTAGGTGGAGAACCAGGAGAAAGAAGTGTTGGAGAAATCTAGGAAAAAAGGAAAAGATGGATAAGGTCAAAGACTGAAGAAATAGGGAATAATGAGGCTTAAGAAAAGGCCATAAAATTTGTCAATTAAAAGATCATCGATAACTTCAGAAAAGGTAGTTTCAATTGAACGATGATATTGGAAGCCAGAAGGCAGAGTTTAGAGAAAGGAGGAAGTGAAGGCACTTATACAGCGCCATCTCAAAAAAGTATTTACTAAAGGGAGGAGAGATAATGGGATGATAATGGAAATAGACATATCAACTGAGAGTGTTCAATACGACAAACATTAAATTAATCCCTTTGGTTGTGGAATAAAGACCACTCTGGTTGGCAGGTACAATTATTCAGTTTTTATTAGAAGGATCACCGATTGGAGGACAGATTCTACAAAACTTTTCAGTAGGCTTCAGTATTCTGCATATTTTCGTGTTTCAGTCACATAACATGTTGGAGTCAGGGTGTATGGGAGGTCCAGACTTTCCTGAGTACCAAAATTGGGATATCTTGCTGTTGCTGAGGCAAAGGCAAAGAACAGCCTGTTGCTAAAGCTAGGACAGGCACTTAAGGGTGGTTAGCTGTACTAGGAACTGTGAATACAAAGAAAATAATGAAGAAAAAAATTACCAGCCCTCAGAGAGTGTGTGTGCACGTGCGTGCATGTGGACTTTGTATGCATTACTATGTATTATGTTGGACTGTGGATACACTGTATACAATAATGATGTAATCCTGGACCTGGTCCCTTTGAGGTGGTGCTAGGTGACTCCTGACTGGTCACTCTAGGAAAGTGAAAGAGAATATTGGCCCTGGTTACTGTCAGGGATGAAGGGGGTGGGGTAGGAGAGGAATCTTTTCTCTAATGCAACTCTGGGACTTCAATGGATAATCCTATATCCTAGTTACTCTTTAGACAGTGATGGAGAGCATTCTTCAGAGAAGAGACGGGAAATCTGTGGCCTAGGCTACCGTGTGATTTAATGATGGGGAATACTAGCCCTGATTAATCTGTGTGACACTGATGTGCAAATCCTGGCTGGGGTCACCACAGATAGCAATAATGAGGAAATTCTAGCTATGGTCAATCAACCTGCATTTAATAAGTACCTGCTATGTGATGCTAGATTCCTAGGAATGCAAATACAGAAATGAAATAGTCCTTGTCCCTAAGTAGTTCATATCCTATTGATCATTCCCTGGGACAGTGAAGAGGTAATTTAGACATTTGTCATTCCCTGAGACAATGAGAGAATCCAGATCATGGTCATTCTTTTGATGATAATGGTGGAATCCTGGTTCTGGGTCCCTTTGGGGCATCATTCTTCAAGACGTGAAAAAAAAAATCTATTCATGCAGTTTAAGATGTTGGTTTCTTTGTCTTCAGTGTCATACTGTTGGCTCATTCTAAGCTTAAAGTCCAATAAAATGCCCAAATCTTTTTTCCCCCTGAAACTGTTTTCTAGCAACACATATGCCCCAGTTCTCTGTATTTGTGTAGTTGATTTTTTTTAAACCCACACTGAGAATGTTACATTTATCTTTACTAACTTTAATCTTACTAGATTCAACTCTTTGTTTTAACCAATCATCTCTTTAGATTTTTACTGTCATTAGATTATGTTAACTCTCCCATTACATTTGCAAACTTGTTAAGTATATATATTAAAATAGAGTCTTTCAGTTGAACAAATATTAAGCACCTCCATTTAGTGAGGCAATATCCATGTCTGAGTAAAATGTTAAGGAAACAGATCCTTGGGGTACTTCATTAGAAAGCCCCATCTAAGTTGCTAACAAGCTATTAATGATTAACTACTCTTTAGATTCAATCATTCAACTAGGTCCCAATACATTTCACTGTATTACCATCCAGGATTCATCTTTCCATCTTGTTCAGAAAGATGGCATTAGAGATTTCACACTGCTGAATTACAGGTTTACTCTGTAATAGGAGCAATACCTGTATTAGTACAGTCCCTGCCATGTAGTCTGGGATAGCTTTTCCTGAGACCCTAGCTTTGGCCTCAAGGCCACATGTGGCCCTTTAGGCACTCAAGTTCAGCCCTTTGACTGAATCCAAACTTCACCGAGCAAATCCCCTTAATAAAAGGGATAATTGGGGCAACTAGGTGGCAGTGGATAGAGCACCGGCCCTGAAGTCAGGAGGACTTGAGTTCAAATCCAGCCTCAGAGACATAATA